TAAAACTACATGTGTGTTGCTGCACTCAGAATCTGTCACCTGGAGTGCAACTGCAAAGTCTTGAATGAAGATATCGGACCCCTCATTAGACAGATGAATCCCATCATTGGAGGCATGATACTGTTATCTGTGGTTGAAATATGGCTGATGTGTTTTCCAGTTGTTTAACCAACGTCTGGCAAAGGAATTCAAAATTTCCTAACCCCATCCAGAGCTTTCTGTGATGAGTTTCCCTTCAACAGTTATGGTACACCATTCTGAGTAGAATACAGCACCAAGTGATGTGGCATTTAGGCACGCAGTGTCGAATTATGGATATGCCAGCAACTACTGCCTCACAACAGCATTTTGCTTTGAATTGTCTGATGTCGTTCGACCTCAGGGGCACAATCAGCAATGATGGGGGAAGGTGTGCCTGCAGCAGCCTCTGCAAGTCTTTTGGCAAGTCATGGAACATTTCTCCCCCCCCCTTCGCCAAACCAATGGACCTCTGCACTGGTGGTAACCAAGGCTCCGTCTTTAGCTCGATGAATAAAACTGTCGCCGACCACTCACACTGTGTGTGTGATCTATAAGCCAGATGAAAATAACAGATTGTGAGGCACATAGCCCACTAGGTACACAATACACTTAATCACATTAAAGCTACAGTATGAACATGTGTGCTATCTCTGGGTGAAGATCTCCTATGGGATTTTGCATGAGCCATTTTTTGTATGGGACACCCTTGCCGATTGATCAATGACTTCACTGCTTATCCTGGGGGATGTTTCATCCTAATGTACGTGCGAAAAACATCACTTTGCCATCTGCCCATTCTTTTTATTTGTGCGGCATATGCGCTGTTTAAAGTGGCTGTGGTTGTAGCACCAATTCTGAATGAGTGTGTTCCAAAACAAGCAGGTTGAAGTCCAAAATATCCCAAGGCCTTATATAACACTGCCAGTTGCCGTCAACATGGATGAACAGAGGGCCCTGATTGCAGGCAGTAGACCCAGGTACCTTATCATTGCTTGCAACAGGCACAAGCCAATAATGCCCACTTCTATTCGTAGGTTGACAGCCTGCCCCTGATCGGTTTTCAAGAATCAAATCCGAACTAAAAGAACCTGCCCCCATCCCCACTGGATATCTGTAATGGCCAGCACCCATCCAGAGGGAGCTCCTCTCGCGGGGACTGTGAATTCACCAACTTGCAAGAGGCCAAAGTATGCAAGCAGGAATATGGCCTGAAACAAGATGCATTCAAAGGGGGATGTACATAAATGTACAGTCTGTAGTGCCGGAACAATTTGATGTAAAATATCCCACGTGATGGGGCACCTAGTGTCCGGGGCACCCAGTGTCCAGTGCCCCATTCTGTCTTCTATGGCCCTCCTGTATCTTTTTTTATAAGAAAGTGATGGGTAGGGTCCTTTCAACTATGATTTTTATGCAAAAGAGACAGAGCTGCTACGTGCAGCTCAGTTGTTGATGAGGCTAATCCTTTTATAGACAGTGCTGCGATAAAGGACAGAACATGGTGCGTTGTGGCTGGTCATGAGGTGTCATAGCCTGCACCACTGTGGAAGTCTTGAAATGTATCTATGGCCTGTTGGTACATGTCTTTTGTGCCTGGTGCTAATGACAAAGAAAGCAAGCTGTGAGCCTCGTGGGCTAGATCTTCCAGAGGGAATCTGGCAACACCCCCTGCTGTTAATTGCTCTGTGTGTGGAGCCACCAGCCTGAACTTGGACAACTGTAAACGAGACAATGAGTTAGCAATAACATTTCGCTTTGTCCCAATGTGAGTTGCCTTAAAGGTGATATTGTACTTGAGACGTGATAGCACGAAATATCTGACCAATGACATTGTCTCAGGGCATCCTGATGTTTGGTTGTTGATTATGTACTTCACCGACGTATTGTCTGTGAAGAATATAACTTGTTTCCCTGCTAGATCTCGGCCCCATACTTTGACTGCCTCTACTATGGGGAACATCTCTTTCCATGCAATAGAATATTCCCCGCCCGCAATTTGACTGGGCCATCTCCCACAAAACCATTTCCCTTGATAAAATCTCCTGTAACCGACTCTTCCACTAGCATCACTAAACAGTTAAATGTCCCGATTTGCACTCCAGCACTGTTCACTGATGATTCTAGTACCATTGAAATAGTCCAGGAAACTTAGCCACATCTTAAGGTCCAGCTTTGCACCTTCTGATAATACTATTTGTGTCTCATTCCATGTAATCCCTTTTAATATGTCCATTAGTCATCTTAGAACGGCCCTACCTGGTTTAACTGCCCGACAAATGAAATTCATTGACTTGACTAGGGATTGTACTTCCTTGGCCTTCATGGAGGTGGACCCCAATACCCTGCTAACTGCTCGCCTAATGTTCTTTAGCTTCTCTGCTGGTACCCTAATTTGCATGCAAGTTCTGTCAATTTCCAGACCTAAGTAAGTGAGCTTACCAACGTGGCCCTCGGATTTCTCTGGTGCTAGCGGGACCCCCAGAAATTCACAGATAGCTTTGAGCTCGATCAAGATCGACCGGCAAGAAGTTGCGTTCTTACTGCCTGAACCCTGGCCATGCACAGGAAATCATCCATGTAATGTACAATACCCTCTGAACCTGTGTTTCTCCCGACCAAAAATTCTATGCAGGAGGAGAACATTTAAAATATGCTGGAGCATAACTCACTCCCATGGGCAAGCATTTATCCACATAATACTTGCCGTCAAGTTTCATGCCTAGCAGTTCAAAGTCCCCTTTGGCAATTGGCATTAGTCTAAAAGCGGACTTAATATCTGCTATTGTTAGTAACGCCCCGTCATCGAACTTGTTGTATTCTACTCTAAAGTTCTCATCGAAAATGTGGTCGTTGACAGATGAGTCCTTATGGTAGGACAGATGGTGTAGTATTCAAAATTCTCCCGGGGTGTGCTTTGGCACCAAGCCGAGTGGGTTTACCCGCAGATTTGCCAATGGCCTGTCGGAAAATGGCCTTGCGATTCTACCTAATGACATTTCTTTATCTATTTTACTTTGTGCAGTGATGAGGTTTGATATCACCGATTTTAAGTTGGGAATTTCTACTGGGAGGCAGGGGCCATGATAGCCAAGCAAAAATCCTTCTGTAAAACCCCTCGCTAAGAATCCTGCTGTCTTTCTATCGGGGTATAAACTGAGGAGTGGCGTTAAATTGTGTGTTCTTATCGGTGTAGCAGCTAAAAAGATTTCGAGTGCAGGCAACTTTTCCGTGCCCTGCTGCACCGCGCAGAGCAATGACTGATGTACACACGGCTCTCGTGCATGCCCCTTTGTAATTGAGCTCGTAACACTGCCCCTACCAGCTGATTTGCGTGATTCCCCCAATATCGTTTTTGCCACTGTTCGAATTATAGGCTTGTGCAGACTGTCCGAAGACTGACGACTTTGCCCCCCAATGTCGTTTTTGCCACTTTTCGAATTATAGGCTTGTGCAGACTGTCCGAAGACTGACGACTTTGCCCCCCTTGTGCTTAGCATGCTTTTGAGTTCCTCCACCCCACCACGCACAGCAAGTATAGCTCGCTATCTATCACCTCCCAAGATTTGTTAACTCCCTGCATCCGTGATCTGAATTCAGTATCATACTCACGCCAACCAAAACCTGCATATTTACTCGCAGCTGATCTAATAATACTGCAATATTTTAGTAGTGCTAGGCATAGTCTGGCTTTGCTTGTAAATAGATGCTGCTGAAAACCAAAAAGGCATCGGTCCAGGCCTCTATGGACCAGATCTTCCCCTTGGATTTGGCTGGCTTTAATAGAATGTTTGACCGCTCTGAACCAATGCTAAGTCAACCTGGCCAGTGCTAGCTATTGCTGATACTATGTTTAAGTTGTACAAACTTGACCCATAACAAGGGGCTGGAACATTGACCAAGCTGGAGTGGGTTCCCCCATTATCCTGACTGCCTTGGCCCTGCTGGCGGGCAACAACTCTGTTGGCCGTAGGAAGAGTTGTGGTGTTCTATTACTATTAGTGCCACTGTGTGCCCCTATATTATTGCCGGTACTGACACCTCTTTCCACCCCAAATTCTGCCCTACTAAATAGCTACTGGGGTTAAAAACCGAAAGATACTGGGGTCTGCTCACCCGGCAGCGATGCGCTGACAGTTGAGGGACCTCTGCTTGTCTGTGGTCCGACTGCCTTATTGGAGCTTGCTTGGGCGATAGTGACGGGTGTTGCCTCCACATTCGCTGCCTCAGCAATTCCTCCGCTGTCGACAGAAAGGGATTGTTTCACAGACAAGGTGGCGATGGGTGGTGCATTCATGGTCACTGCTCCGGCACTTTCCCTGTGGCTGACTGATAGTAGTGATCTCCTTGACGTTGAAGCTACAGCTCCTGCATTTATGAAGCCTGTCCCGACATTCCTCCATTGTCAGCTGACTGGCCCGAAGGTACTGGGGCCGAGGGAAGGCCACTGCGCCAGCATTCATGATCCCTGTCCCGGTATGTTCTCCGATATTGACTGACTGGCTCAATGGCACTGTAGCTGAGAGTGGGCCCACTGCACTCTCACTCATTCCCACCGATTCCCCGCTGGTAGCAGTTGTACGTGTGTTCGCCCTCTCTCCCAATTCAGGCTGCGATATCCCTGGCGATGTTTTGACTTGGCCCATTTCTAGTCTAGCCTGCTTGGCAACCGGGTGGACAGTTTTTCTTGGCCTACCTCGCTTGCCCATTATTATAAACTGTGGCTTGCAAACAGACTTTTCGCTGAACAAGTGTAGCTAGCTAGTAACTGCTGGAAATGTGCTTATATCTTGTGGCTTGTAGAGCATGGGATGTCTCCATCAACTGACTCAGGCGAAGCTAGATCAAAAATGAAACAGTTGCAATTGAGCTAAAACGAGCGCGTTCCGCAGCTCCAGTTCCGTAATGTAATATGTTGTATATGCTTCTGACCACACAGCCATCGCCGCTCCCCAAATTTTGATATCAGAGATTTACCTCAGTGACCGTGCTGTAACCTTTCACAAATTTGTTTGCACTGAGGGCGCAAACTGACTTTCGTTCTGATTTTTTTTGGTTGCTTTTTCCCAACTTTGCAGAAAAGGTATTCTTTTTGTTCTGATTTTTTGGGGGAGGGGAGGTTCCCACATTTTGCAGAAAAGGTATTCTTTTTCTTCTGTTCTTGCCTTTTTCACAGTTTTGCAAAAAAGGCATAACTTCTCTTCTTTTTTTTTCTTCATCCTCTGCGCAAAACCCATTCAATTTCTGCACTTTTTTTTTCTGTACACGACTTTACTGCTTTTGCAACTCTGGATCTTCATCAAACTGTACTAATAAAGGACCCTTATGCATAGATGGTCCTTGAAGCATGATGACATCATCAAATGATCTATTATTGATTTTTCAATATTTATTTCAGCCCATTGACTTTGTACACATTTTTAAGGCAGCATTTTGGTTTTTATTAACCACTTCCTGCCGGGGACTCCAGGATCGGAGATGTATGGTTTATATGGGTGGCCGGGGTCTCCGAACTCGGACAAAGGAAACAGGGCCCTGTAACAAAAGACCGTACTCTGAACAAAAGACCAGGCTGCTGGGCATTACCGACATTTCTACTCTCAAAAGTGGTGATAATCCAGCCTTGTTTTGAAACTGTAGACCAGGGTTTGGGGCATTAAGAGCAAACGGATTACTACCGGGGACAAAAGCGCTCCACCACCACAGTGATGAGCCACACAACACTGCTGCATGCTAATCTGGCCCCTATTGAAAAGAGGTCAGCAGTGCACTAAGCCAGGCTCGTGAACAAAAGACAGTTATACAACACCGCACAATCTGGGCTCTGTTTACAAGGCTGCTGGCCTGACTGAAATACTCGAGCATCAATGAAGGTCACCTGTCAACTTCGGGTAGTGCCTAAAGATTACTTGGTGCGGCTATAAATGACCGTTAAATGAAATGATGAATTTTTGAAAACTGAAAAAATGATAGTCATGCCGGCCCAGCATCATCAACATTGAAAAATGCCCCGGCATGAAGTGGTTAAGCAATATCCGAATGTCACCAAACTTACACCAAGGAAAAACATCGACGCAAAGATAATACTCAAATAAATTACGTCATGATGATGCTGTCAAGGGATTTATTATTAAATTATTAATATTTAAATATTACATTAATTATTTCTAAATCCATATAAAATCAACCGTGGCTTCCTGCAACTTCTCTTTGTGGCACGTACCAAGGTAAAATTGGGTCTTCAATTCCTCTCGTGTGGGTCAAATCACGTGACCCTTCCTGTCGAATCCGGAAGTGGGCTTTTTGTTTAAAAGTGGTAATAGGTATGCACTTGGTTTTGACGATGTTAGTCGGTGGGGTATAGTATTCTTCAAATCATCTACCGATGACATCATGTAATTAACGAATGCCCTTTTGCAACAGTTTAAGAATTCTGAAAAATGAATTTCGAATAGATACCTGTGGCAAAGTTTTTTTGGAATTGCCTGAAAATTAGTGGAAATGATGATAATTATCAATTCAACTCATGTGAAGTTAGGTGCCAATGACGTCATCAGACCGGAAGTTACAATAAAATGTCCTTTTATTCTTCAAAATTGGGTAAAAAAATCAATTGTAAAGGATGTAAGCGTGAAATTTCCAAAAGGGACAAATTTTTAAAAACTTTAATCTGTGCTCTTTCTGCGATAACAATAATGTTTTGTAATATATTTTGCATTGTACCTGTGTGGGTTGAAAGCCTCCAGATAGTTAGGAAGGGCCTCAGGCGATCCAACGGTGCATCTTTTAAAGTACTATATCTCCCTAAGTGCCTGTCCAATTGGGCTGAAATTTGGCAGGTATTTAGAAAGGGAAGTGTTAGAGGCAAAATCGACCTCATGTGATGTTGACGTCATCAGATGATTATGTCTCATGACATTAAAGGTGCACTCTTCAAGCGCTATATCTGTTGAAGTGCATGTAGTTCTGTTTGAGAATTAGGTGATTAGGCTCAACCCCAGTACCTTTTTGCAATTGTACAGTTCCATCTTTTTCCTTCAAAAATTCTTCCTTTTTTTCTTGATAATTATGGTCCAGGCCATGTTTTTCAACATGGTTCAAATACAATGCATGAACATTTACCCTACTCCACAGCGTGTCTACAAGGTTGATGCTATGATGATGTAATTAGACCTGTGTTAAATTACAAGCAATTAATATTTGATATTTTTAACCTTTAAAAGCCACATCAAATTACAAGTGATAAACCTCAGCCTTTTCACCGTGTAATTCAAAGCATGCAGAGCACGCAGAGTCACAAACCAAGAATTTGCGGTTTGGCAGGTGGCCTTCGTGGCCAAGTGAGGCTGGAATTCTTGGAGTCAGCTTTGGAAAAGAAATTCCCATCGTCAAGGGGTTAAAACATGTTCAGCAAGTGGAATGATATCTGTGTCATTCAATTCATATAGCTATATCAGTGGCTATAAATCTATACAGTAATTGTAGTAATAAATGAGTTGCACTAGTTTAAATTGTTCACTGTACATGTACCTGCTTGTCAAAGCCATTTCTCATTTTAAACTTTCTGTGTTTCAGCCTAGTTGGAATATACATGTACATGCCAAGATGTGATTTTTGAATGTAGATTGCGTCATGGCATAAACAGAAAAAAGCCCTTTTTAACTCTTCACAGAGCTCTGAAGACAAATGACACTGCGTTCGATTTGGATGCTTCCATATTTATTTCAACAGATAAAATCAGAGAAAACTTTTTCCTTAGAGGTGCTCTTTAATGAATACATGTACCGTAACTTTCGAATAGATAAACTTCATGCTTTGCATAGAGGAGATCAACTGAAGAGAGGGCTTGTGGTAACACTGTGGATAGATCTTTTTGGAAGAGGTATGGTTCTGATAAGAACTGTTGAGTGCGAAGATTCACACTCACTCACTGAAGATTCACAGGGACTCTGCTTAACTCATTGCTCCCATCAAGAACTGACTTACTTATAAGAATCCCTTAAGCCATCAAGATATTCCAGCATGACACAGTCCCACAAAATGCAGGGTTCCAACTCAACAACAATTGGCATCCACTACTCCAAACCAAGGCAATCCCCCCTCCTAGGCATGAGGGTCTCCTATACCCGAAACTCACCCCCCTCCTCCATGGCAACAAGGTTCTCTATACCTGAGCCGCCTCCCCGGGTGTCCCCGGCCTCCTCTACCCAAAACCTACATGTACCCTACCCCCTGCCACGGTCTACCACCAGTGCTTATCAGGCCCCAGTGCTTCAGTGCTCCAGCCAATCCCACTGCAGCATCCTCCTCCAGCATCACCAACCTTACAGCAAAGCATCGGTTTCACACCTGAGTGCTCCTGGGATCCAAGCCAATCCCCACACAGCCCTTATTGACAATCAACTCTCCCCATGTAGCAGTTATTTACCAGTGCTCAACCAAAGTCCGGAACTCCACTCCTGAAGATGACCAGAGCACACTTGTCTAAATGTCGAGCTCACACTCAATGGTTCTTATCAGAACCATACCTTTCCCCCCCCCCAAAAAAAGAGATCTATCCATATGGTGTTACCACAAACCCTCTTCAACTTTGGAATAAGTTCTTTTGTATGGACATACCCTGATGGTAGAATTGCCTGCCCTTGGTAACTATTCAATTAGAAGAAGGAGAAGCCTAAAGAAGGAACAACTAACCCAAGTCACCAGTGGACCATATCTTCAGAAATTTGTACCTTATTGGTGTCAAATTTGATCAGTCTTAATAACCTAACAGATCTTGTAACTTTGAAGTTGAAAGATTCGTAACTTTAAAAGCAGTTGCAAACATTGCATACATGTACTGGCACAGTATTTCCAGTAAAATTAAGTCGGTTGACAGGTTTTGTTTGCCCAAGATTTCCATTGTTTTGAAGTACAAGGGTCAAAGTTACAGGCCATAGGGCAGAGTTATTGGACAAACATTTATAGGAGCTGTGTTTAAATCATACAAGTGGAGAACCTCTGCATCTTTTGCTAGCTAACATTCATTCATTCTTCTTTTATTTCAGATGTCTGCTGAAAGTGTTACTGAGGCTCTGAACATTTCAGACAAATCAGGTGTTGCGAAAAAGGCCTTATGTGAGACCGATGTGATGTATAAGTCTATCCGTGGGAACACATGTGATAATGATGCTACACTTGAAGATGGCAGGACACGATCAAGTAAACTTCCTGGTTGCCAAGACACTGAAGTAGACAAACATACAGCTCAAAGGCTGTTGCTGCTTTCGAACAAGATAAAGAACCACAATGCTGTTGGAAACTCTATTCTCCCAAATGTTAAATTAGTTCAGTACAAGTATGAGAGTGGTGCTTGTGATCCTATTTTCAATCAAATAGCACAGGCATTAAATGAAACCACAGTGGAAAGTATAGCCTGTATCTTGCACACCAAACCAGGGAACATATTGCTGTGTACAAATGGAGAAAATAGAGAGGTAAGACTTGAAAGCAGGGAGGAAAGACTCAAAAACTCCTTGGCTTTTAGTAAGACTACCCAACCTAGACAGTTTTACTAAAGGCTAGAGTTTCTCTTGTCTTTTCCTTTTTATTTTTCCAGCAATAAAAGTTAATAGTACTATGTATAATAGTTCATTTTATGGAGTTTTCCTTGTCAAACAGAGGCTGGATTCCAGTACATTTTCACTTAATTATTGTTGCTATGTTTTTACATTCCAGCCTCTGGTGAATGAACCCTCCCAACAAAAAATCCAGAATCTTACTTAGTTCTGGAACTAAGTCACTTTCAGGAAACTTGAGGAAATCAAGTGAAGATTTTGACCAAAATAATTGAAAAATATTGCATGTGTACTCTCACATCTGCCGAGTGCGGATGCAGAAATATTATGTCCTGAAACTTGTTTTCCATTTTTCGTTGTGTTCCTTTTTTATTAAGTTTTTAAGTACATTCTGTTTGCTACCAATACCATGCCATATCAAAACCAAACATCCAAACCGACAAGTGCATGTGTGGTTCGGTTTGGTTGGGTTCGAAAGTGCCATGTTCTATGATTTTGGGCTTGATCCGGCGGTCTGGCTACAGTGCTAGCTGTCGCTTTCAAAAGTGGTTTAGCCACTGGTGCTTTTTCTTTGTTCCTCCACGTGACTGGGTGTTTGCAGTTATATCTCCTGCTCATAAAACTTTAAACTTGAAACAACCTAGTAATGGTTCTGATGGCAGCACGTTTTTATGCTGTGACTTATTTTATGATTGTCAGACAGCTTTTTGCCTTGCGCTGGGGTGTGTAAGCCTATGGGATTTGTAAGATCTAAAAAACGGGACTGTCAAATTATCTTGATATATCTTACTGTAAAGTAAGTACATAATAGTGTCAGACAATCTGTGAAATCTTACCACCAGAAATTCTGTCATTTTAGAGAATTTTTTTCTCAGAAAATTTTATATATTGCAACCGTCTATTAATGGGTCATGTGCAAAATGCCAACACGCCATCGGTCCACCTAAAGTCATAATTAGCTAATGAAATAGATAAAGATCCATACCTAATGACCTGAAGGAGAATTTGGACTGATCTGAAACTAAACTTTATTTTTGAAACTTTGGAAGTTTACCTCACGTAAATTATATCATCCCGGTTTCACCCCTCAAGATAATGGTATGGTCCAAATCAATTATGACCTCTCCAGAGGAGCTGCAGGACCAATTTTTCTCAAACGGAGAAATTCACAGTAACTCACATGACCAAAACATAAGGATGTACATAATTGCCACATTTTTTGTATTTATAAAGTGTTAACGATGGGCTCTGTTGTGCACATAAATGGTTTCTGACCAATGTACGCTGGCCTTCGTGTGAAAAGCGAACTGTACATGTACATGAACATGGTCAATTGTGCATGTGTACATTACATGTACGGTACACGTGTGGTCACGAAGTCACTGTGGTACTGCAGCAGTCAACTCACTGCGGGATGAATCGTTAGTTGACAATTCTCAGTGTTGCATTTTTGAAGATGAAACACAAAGTTGAAGGTAATTTCGCCAACCACAATTACCATGAAAAGCAAAGGGAAAGAATGTTTTTCTTAAGGGATCAAATTAATCGAGCTGCACTCTGAGTGATAAAAATGAACAGCGTTTTTCTCAATTTTTCTCGGGGCAGTGCACTCAAAAGCTGAAACAGTCCCTTGAATGATATATAAAGTAATTCAGTTACAAACCCCCAAATCGGTAAATTTTGGCAAACTGCAGTACATGCAAATCTTGCACAGTACCTAAATGTATGCATCCATTTTGGAGTTCCCACCAGGGTGGCCAGCCGACTTCAGAAAAAGAAAAACCTTGTGGTTTTTTAAGTTGGCGGCTGATTTTGTTCTTACTGGAAGTTGATCAGCAGAAACTCGTCCACGTGCTCATTCCAAGGGATTTGCACTGCCAAAGATTGCCAGCCGATACGCAGAAGATCGGGCGTATTCATGAGGTTGGTTATTTGCATAAAGCTATATTGTGTTCCGTTCACGGAGCCGCTGGGTTGCTAACGGCTCTTTTGTTTGGCTGGGATTAGTGTGCTCTCCATGATTCCGCGAAATGCCCGCGTCCTGGAACGCTTAGTCAAGTTGGGGATGACGCCTAATGGCTTGCCATGGTTGCCTTTCCGACTGCATCCCCTGTAATCAAAACGAAGAGGCGTGCTCAACAATTTTTTTTTGTCAATATCACCATTTTATCCGGTCATGCTCTTTACTTTAGCAAATAAATGGGAATATTATAATACTTGGATTCTGCATAAAATAGGATATCTGGATTTTTAAATCGTGGATTGATCTTCCGTCTTCAGACGCTCCTTACCTGCAGTTTTTCTATTTTTGCAGTGCATGCGGAATGACCTCACTTTCCCATGCATGTTATGATATGGCCGTAGTCCTCTAACTCTTTTTGTGTGTGGGCCGGCCTTACTTTCGTCCCTGCACTTCGGGATGTGACCGTGATGACGGACGCTTTCACTATGCAGAGGGGGAGCCTCTCTTCCTCCACGCCGTGCCTCCGGGGTCTAGGACACTGCCGCTCGAGGCAAACATATCAGTGTGTTAGAACTCCAAGCGTGTTCAACGCTCTTCGTCACTTCTGACAGCATTTAGTATGTTGTTCCGCTCAAGTCCAGAGCGACACCTCAATGACAGTGGCGTACATCAATTGCCAGGGCGGCACTCGCCTTCCTCAGCTCCTGTGCCCTTGCGGGATCAGCCTTCAAGCTGTCCACATAGCAGAAACCAGCAACAGCACAGCAGACGCACCCTCTCAGGTGCTGTCCAACCGACAGAGTGGACTCTTTATCTGAATGTTGTCAGCCAGATTTTTGCGGACCTCTGAGGCATCCTACACGTTCTTGCTGGTCCCCCGTTCAAACTGCTCTCCGATGCGTCTGACCTTCATCGCAGCATCAAACTGGTGTTCCTCCTTGTGGTTTTTACATCGAGATGAGGTAGCGAGCGGCATGCCCTATCGATTGCCAGTGGTCACATCTGCTGGGAGCTACATGGGGCTTGCCTTATCCCGATCCTCGGGTTTCTGTCGAAAACTGAACACCTACCCTCCAGCCTCCCAACATAGCCTCACTTTTAGGAGACAACTCTGACAAGAGATGGTGTCTGGTTTGGACTCTTAAGTAGTATCTTGCCATGATCAAGCATTGCCGAGAACTAATTCCCAGCTCTTTGTCACCACAATGAAACCCTTTCACCTGGCGTCTAAGGACATTATTGCCGATGGACGGTCTCGGCCATTATCTTTGATAACTGAGACTGGCTGGTACAACATGATGAGACAACTTGATCTCATGTCAGGGCCCAGGACGTTTGGGCCGCCTCTGCATCCTGGTCGTACTTCAGAGGAGTTCCTCTAGCTGAAATCTGCCAGGCAGCTTGCTGGAAATCTCCCTCCACCTTCACCAAGTGCTATCTGAAGGATGTTCTGTAGAGGGAAACAGCCCATGGCAGAGCTACCCTGTGCTCAGCGATTCGGACAATGTCCAGTGCTGTTCACCGCCGGGCGGTGGATACTTCGACTTTAGGAGTTTCTCCTGGTGAGTAATCACTCTTGATACACCTGCCTTGTGTTCTTATAGCAACTACACTCCTGTCGCTGGGATAAAAAAAGTGTTTTTATATATGTTGGGTAAGGGCAAAACTCAAAATTAAAATTAACATCTCCCCCATACAAAGTATATCTTTACAACAGTTTGCAGTACCCCTTACTGCAAATGACTCTGACCAGCTGGTTGCCCCCAGCAAACTCAGTGGTCAAGTTAGCAGGAAGTCTTGGGTTCGAGTCCCACCCGAGTGAGCTTGTGAATTTTTTCGCAAGTTCTCAGACAAGCACTGAGTATACATTGTTTATAAATATATTGGTCAGGTAAGGTTAAAATATGTAATTAAAGTTGACATCTCCTCAGCGCAAAAGCACATCTTGACAATTACTTGTACCTTTCAAGCGTACCTGCAAAGAAACACGCAAAGATGTCTTCCATGATGTGGCCAAGCTTCTTCTCAAGAATGTTGACAATGATCCAACAAAAGATCTCATTAACCTCATCCAAGAGGAAAATGAAAAATCAAGGGAGCAGGAAATGCTGTTGTTCCAAATGATGTTTCGAAGATCCCCTTACCTCATAAGCAGGATCAGCACGTAGAACATTGGTATGCAGCGCCATCCACTGCACCTGACCCATTTATCACAAAAAATCTACCGCAACCAGCTTCCCATGGCAGTTACTTCTCGGTATGGCCCATTTCAGCTCAGGAGGTGTCTCCCCAAAACCATCATCGACTCAAAGGCATCAAGACCAGCTTGTAGGACGTCGGTCTGCAGCACCGTCCGCTGCACCTGACCTGTACAATCCATCTTAACCAGCTCCTTTCCATGGCAGTCAATCCTCATTCCTATCTCAACATTGGATGTGCACCAATTTTGCACCAAGAGTGAAGCAATAGTCTTTGTGAAGACTGAGAGTGAAAGTGATTGTCATATCTCACAACCTTTTAATGGTGAAAATGACTTCGTGCAGAATGGCACTATAAGTAGTTATTTCAGCTCAGTCTGTTAAACACATGATACAATGAACTCAACATGTTTAGGTTTGGAAATTTCTCAGGATGTTATCAAAGAAATGTTTCTCTTTTAACACATGTTAGTAGGTCAGGAAATTTTTAGGCTTTTGTCTGTGTGATGTTTTATATCATTGTTTAGACTTGCTAGTTATGATTTCTCAACAAAACTCATTAACATTCCTTTAGATGATTTAGCAACATTCGTCAGTTTGTTGAAATTGGCTTTGATTGCTACTGTTGACATTTGTCTATCTTCATACTAAAACCACTGTTGCTATACCTCGTTGTTTGGGGCAAGCTTTTGCTTAGTTACATAAGAGATGCCTTGCAACAATACACTGTTCTCAATGGATAAGAACGGCACAAAGGA